TTCTATTGTATGTAATTAACTGAATAATTTAAAGTATTATTCTCTATCTATAGGCAAATTGTACTTGAAAAATTATTCAAAGCATTTCAGCTTTGTATAAACATTAATAATAACTTTTAGCTGCATTTACTTGTACTTTACGTTTTTACTTTTCTGAAATAAAAAGAATACTGGCCTGGGAATTGGGTTGCTCCTTGGCTGTAATTCTGACAATTACATGGCTTTGGCCAATCACTTAATATCTTGGCATCAGTTTCTTTGAAACGTCTTTCGATTACAAGTGCCCAGGAGCTTAAAGCAGGTGTAGCAGCAACATTTATGAGCCACTGGGATTATAAGTAAATTACTCTGGGAACAAAGATCGTGTATGGTCAAATCACAAAATTACAAAAGGCATCTTCAGAATCACTGAGTAAAATTCCCTTATTTTAGAGATGAGGAAACTGAAACCAAGAGTAAATATTGAACTTGTCCATGACTAGAGATAGAAACAGAACACAAGGTGAGGAAAGGCACAATCCATAGAAAATTTAAATTTACTTTGAAATCTTTAGTTTGTGTGTGTGTAAGTGACTTTCACACTTGTGCATGAAAGATACATATTAAGTTCAACCATACAGAACTGCTATTTTTATGGGGTCAAAATTGTCAAATATCATGAATTAGATATATTTCAACATAATTAAGAACTTTAGCAGTACTATTTGCGAGAGTAAAAACATCGTACATGACTCAAATGTCCACCGACTGTAAAACAGAAAAATTAATTGTGAGGTAAACATGCAGTGGAATTCTGTAGGACAGTGGGCAAAAACAAGTCCTACAGCCACAGGCAGGCGTCAACACTAATAAATCTCAAAAACAAGCAAGTCCCCAAAGAATACATACTGTATGATTTACATTTTATAAGATGCAGAAGCAAAACTAAACAATTTATTATTTAAAGATACAGTCATATAAGGGAAATCTTTTTTTTTTTTTTTTTTTTTTCAAAAATGTGATCTTACACAGGAAGTCAGGATAGTTGTCTCTTCGGAAAGGCAATGTTTATTCCTTAAATTAGATGGTTGATGCATTGGTGTGTATTGAATTTTTCTTTATAACCGATACATATTTTCTAAATATTAATTACACAATGTTTAGAAAAAATAATAATACCAAAGAAATAATTCATGCTCCCTGCTGGAGGGAGTATAAATTGGGACCACCACTTTGGAGGGCTATTATAGTGTCTATTAAAATAAAACATAAGGAATGTAATAGATTTCCTCTATGTTGAGCAAAGTTTAAACTCCCTGGATAATTACTTTGCTTACTAGAATCTCAAGAAGCCAACTGAGGTAGCTCTACATTCCTCTGAAATACTCCAGACTCCCTACCCACACATTCTACTTCGCCTCTCTGTCTCCTGCCTCACCACTCCACCCTCCAACCCCCTCCACGTCCTCTGCCCCCTGCCCCCACAAAACCAACCTTCACTCCCTGACTCCCTCTTTCAGTGACATCTGCTGTAGGCCCTCTCCTCAACAGGCACCCAACATAAAACAATTTAAGGTCTAAGGTCAGAAGCTAGACAGGAGTTTTATTATTTTTCCTTCCATAAAATTTACAGCATTAAAAGCTACTGCTCACAATGAGAACTCACAAAATGCAATAAAGGTTATTTGCTTTTGCTTATAACCCTCTGCTCCCACACCCCCTAAAATGCTGGAAACATTTTGCTATGCCAACAGCTTAGAAGGAATATTGTTTCACTGGAATGAGACCTGCCTACTCTGTTTTCAGAGATGAAGTTTTGGAATGGTTATGTTAATTACATAGTAAGTAAGACTAATGCAGCCTTGGAATTCACTGGAAAGTCCAGTCAGATATTTTCTCAGGAATTAGTGTAATGGAAATTCTTACTGTGAAAATCACTTTCCATTCTTAGAGTTTTAAATGAGACGAACAGTGACTGGAACAAGATTGCTAAGGGTTGGCTTGTTTGAAAATGAGCAATTCTGGGCGCCTGGGTAGCTCAGTGGGATCGAGCCCTGCATTGGGTTCTCTGCTTGGTGGGGAGCCTGCTTCCCCCTCTCTCTCTGCCTGCCTCTCTGCCTACTTGTGATCTCTCTGTCAAATAAATAAACTCTTTTAAAATGATTTTTAAAAAGAAAAAAAAAAGAAAATCTTTTAAAAAGAAAAAAAAAAAAAAGGAAAGAAAATGAGCAATTCTTAAAACAACCTGCCTGAAAATTCCTCAATGTTACCGAATATCCCTGAAGTCGCATAATTCTCCTTGGAATATTTAGAAGTTTTGACTTAGAATTTATTCTGTTTCTTTAAAGCAAAGTTGATTCATTTTCAACTTATGGAAATAGGTGAAATAATAATCACAAAAAGTTTCGATGCAATTATTTTACCTTTTCGGGGACCTGAACTTTATCATTGTTTCTTAACTTTGTTTTTTTGTTTTGTTTTTCGGTTTTATTTTGGGTTTTTTTGTGTATTTTTTTTTGTTGTTGTTTTTGTTTGTTTGCTTGTTTCTTAACTTTGTAAGTGGGAAATTCAGATAACCACATAATGTTATGCCAGGGAGGCATAGATCCAGTTACCAGAGTTTTGTTCCGAAGACATCATTTGGTCAAACTGTCCTTTGTTGTTCATAGGACTTCTTAAGATTTTTGAGATGTAAAACTAATTTTTTCATTGAATTCTAAAATTGTAGTTGATTCATTTTTCTTTGCCTTTTTTGTTTAGAATAAATCAGAATGGGAAAATACGCTTTTTTAAAGAAAAAAATGAAATTAAAAAAAAGAAAAAAAGGAAACTAATGTAACATTGTATGTTAACTGTACTTGAATTAAAATGAGATAATGGGGCACCTGGGTGGCACAGTCAGTTGAGCAGCCAACAGTTGGTTTTGGCTCAGGTCATGATATCAGGGTGGTGAGACTGAGCCCTGCATTGGTCTCCACCCTTACTTAGCACAGAGTCTGCTTGAGATTCTTTCTCCCTCTTCCTCTGCCCCTCCTGTTCTCTCTTTCTCTCTGTCAAATAAATAAATAAATCTTTAAAAAAATACAATAAATAAAAGGAAACGAACTATTGAGACTTCATCAAGATAAAAAGCTTTTGCACAGCAAAGGAAATAGTTGATAAAACCAAAAGATAACCTACAAGAATGGGAAAAGGTATTTGCAAATGTCTTATCAGATGATATACAGAGTACCCAAGGTCTATAAAGACTTTATCAAACGCAATACCCAAAAAACAAATAATCCAATCAAGAAATGGGCGGAAGACATGAATAGAAATTTCTCCAAAGGAGACATACAAATAGCCAACAGACTCATGAAAAAATGCCCCACATCATTTGGCATCAGGGAAATACAAATCAAAACCACAACGTGATACCACCGCACACCCATCAGAATGGCTAAAATTAACAAGTCAGGAAACAACAGATGTTGGTGAGGATGTGGAGAAAGGGGAACTCTCCTACACTGTTGGTGGGAATGCAAGCTGGTGCAGCCACTCTGGAAAACAGTATTGAGTTTCCTCAAAAAGTTAAAATAGAGCTACCCTATGACCCAGCAATTGCACACTGGGTATTTATCCAAAGGATATAAATATAAACCCAAATGTTTATAGCAGCAATGTCCACAATAGCTAAACTATCAGAAGACCCCAGATGTCCATCAACAGATGAATGGATAAAGAAATGGATAAAGAAATTCACAATGGAATTTCAGTGAGCCATCAAAAAAAATGGAAATCTCACCATTTGCAACAACATGGTTAGAACTAGAGGGTATTATGCTAAGTGAAATCAGTCAAACAGAGAAAGACAATTATATGATTTGACTCATACGTGGCAGTTAAGAAACAAAACAAAGGATCATAGAGGAAGGGAGGGAAAAATAAAGTCAGACAAAATCAGAGAGGGAGACAAACCATAAAGAGACTCTTAACTCTAGGGAACAAACTGAGGGTTACTGGAGGGGAAGTGGGTGGGGGGATGGGGTAACTGGGTGATGGACATTAAGGAGTGCGCTTGATGTAATGAGCACTGGGTGTTATATGCAACTGATGAATCTCTGAACTCTACCTCTGAAACTAATAATACATTTATATGTTAGTTAAATGAATTTCAATAAAGTAAAATTTTTAAAAAGGAAAAGGAAAAGAAAAGTTGAGAAAAGGGTCAGAAAATCTTGTCACGGTATCACCTTGCCGGCAGCTAGCTTTTCAAGTGGAACACAGATTTAAAAGTTCCTTATATTGTCTGCAGTGGGTTCATTTTGTGTTGCAGTGTTTAGCTTGAAAATTCTAAGACCTTTAAAATAATGGGTCTGGTTCAGTAGATGTACATGTTTGTTTGAGTCCTTTTCTAAGAAAAGCATACTGGTGTTTAATTCATTTTTATTTTTATTTTTACTAGATTTTGTTTAGGAGAAGGTAGATGAGTAGACCTGAAAAATCATTCTTTGCAGGGAAAGTGGTACACAAAACTAAAGCCACTTTTAAATAATTTTCTGAAATGCCCCATCACCCCACCAAGCGGGTTAGCTAAATTGCCTATAAGATGCGGACAGATGGATTGCTGTGCCTGTCCCCACACTCAGGCATCACCAACACTGCTTTCCAGGAGCCATGCTAATCAGGTGGAGGAGGGAGGTGGTCTAGGGGGCCATGATGAATGGTGAGTGCCTACCAGGTGCCAACAGCTACTCCTTTCTCTTGTTACTCTCCCAGGTGCTGTTTTGCTGCAACAAAGGGCCAGCAAGTATTGCTGGATTCTCCAGTTTATAAGAGGAAGTCAGACTTTAGGTGACAGCTCTCATTTGTAAATGAACAGGTGTGTTGCCCTCCCACTGGGAAAGTTCTTCCACACAGTTAAAAAAAAAAAAACACTCTCAGGACCGTCCACTTGGTTTCTCTTCCTTGGAGAAAAGCAGTAAATATTAATGTATCTCCCTTTTGTCTTTGTTGACATTTCCTTCTGTCCTTTCTTACAGGCTATGTGCTGTCTCTGCTCTGCCCAAACTCCTCCCAGGCCTGGTGTGAGATCACAAACGTGTCGCAGCCTCTGGCTTTTCCTGTCCTCTACAGGGACCTGAATGCCAGCATAAGCACCTTGAGCAGTTCTGCAAAAGTTGAAAACAAATACAGTCTGTATGTGGGCCTGGTGCTGGCGGTCAGTTCCAGTATTTTTATCGGCTCCAGCTTCATACTGAAAAAGAAGGGCCTCTTGCAACTGGCCAAGAAGGGCGTTACCAGAGCTGGTGAGAATCGGAGGCAACTAGCCCGTTCAAGTTTCTGCAGCAGCTGCGGAAATAATCCTGTTCTAAGACCATAGTGCTACAGTAGTGGTATTTTACTGTCTCTGTCTTAGCCCCTGTCTCTGTTCTTAGCAAATCTCCCCCTGCAGTTTCCAGGGTTGAACCAGGTGTGTCCCCTTGCGGGTGAAACTGAAGGTCTGTTTCCCAGAGGTTGAGTCCTTCTATCAGAGCTTTTGTGTGCAATTTCAGTGTTCAAGTTCAGATGTAGGTGTGTAACTTAAGACATGTCAGTGGCTTTTCTTTGCACTCAGAATAAAACCCAATACCCTTCCCCAGACTCTGACCTCCTGCGTAAAATGGTCCTTGCTACCTCTCTACCTGTATCTTCTGCCACTCTCCCTGTCACCTACTTTTGTCTGCTTCCTGGAATAGACCAAGTTCTTTGTCCCTTCAACGCCTTTTCCCTTCACCTGGAACACTCTTCTCCCTGGCCTTCCTTCTGGCTGACGCATCCTTCAGACTTCAGCTTAAGGATCATCACCTTGGCTGGTCTTCCTCTCTGGGGAGGTGTCCCCCACCCCCACCTCCATTACTGTCTATCATGGCACGAAGGGTGTCCTTCATTGTACCTGAAACAATCTGTCATTGTAGGTTTATTGCTTATTTACTCATTTATTGACAGCAGACCCACAAGAGTAGGAACATTCCCTAGGATAGTGTTTGGGACCCAATAAATATTTATTAAATCAATAAATGCATAGCCATAGAATTAAGTTGCTATTTATAGTGAGTAACAGCTTAACTACCCTTCATTAACCATAAATTTCCATTCATTTTTTCTCTTTTTTACCATTTTATTGATATGTAGTGGAGATACAAACACTTCACATATTTAGTATATACAATTTGATGAGTTTGGACATATGAATATACCTGTGATAACACCACCATAACCCAGACAATAAACATATATATTACCTCCCAAAGTTTCTTTATGTCCCTTTTTCTTCTTTTGTTCTTTTTTGGGGTTTTTTTTTTGGCCAGCAGAATATGTAACACAAGGTCTACCCTTCTGGTTTTTTTGTTGTTGTTGTTGTTGCTGTTGTTTTGCTCTTTCAGACATTTCTTTTTATTTACAGCTTGTGTTCAAGGCAAATCAATTCTATAATATGAGAAGTTACTATGAGTCAAAGCATAAATACACAAACACAATATACAATCCAAAATAGATGAATAGCATTCAGGTGTGAAACAAAACAGAATGTTCATTCACACACTGCAACTTGACATCTGTTGGATATGGTTGTTTCAGTGCAGGTTCCTAAAGATGGGGGGAAAAATGACTTTGGTTATCAAGGCTACTATGGCCATATTAGATATTGGAACATCTAAGCATCCATGCAAACAAGTCCTTACAGTGTTCATTTTTAAAAAGCTTTGTGTGCATTGAGACAGAAGACATCCAAGATTAATTAAGAGATGATTTTTTTTAAGATTTTTTATGTATTTATTTGACAGACAGAGATCACAAGTAGGCAGAGAGGCAGGCAGAGAGAGAGGAGGGGAAGCAGGCTCCCCGCTGAGCAGAGAGCCCGATGTGGGGCTCGATCCCAGGACCCTGAGATCATGACCTGAGCCGAAGGCAGAGGCTTTAACCCACTGAGCCACCCAGGCGCCCCAATTAAGAGATGATTTCTTAAAATGTAGCTTAAGAAGTATGGGCACAGGGGCAGCCGGGGGCTCAGCTGGTTAAGCTTTCTGCTCAGGTGATGATCTCGGAGTCCTGGGATGTAGCCCCTCTTTGGGGCGCCCTGCTCTTCGGGAAGCCTGCTTCTCCCTCTGCCTCTCCCCCTGCTTGTGCTCTCTCTCTCTCTCTTTCTCTGTCAAAAAAATAAGATCTTTAAAAAAGTAATAAAATAAAATAAATAAAAGTGGCATTTCAATCCTCTGGGGAAAGGATGGATTATTCAGTCAAAAGTGTTAAGACAATTGGCAAAAATTAGAAAAAAATGTAAGAGTTCTACCTCATACCATTCAGGAATTTAAAATGAAATGATTTTTCTCAAGAAACCTAAAAGGTCTTTCTAAGAATGTAGATAAAGGAAGAATCTATTCTGTATAAAGGAAGAGACTATCTGGATTGATTTTAAAAAAAGAAAAAGAAAAAAGATAGAAAAATGAAAGAAAAAGAAAGAAAGAAAGAAAGAAAGGAAAGAAAGAAAGAAGAAAAGAAAAGAAAGAATCCTACACAGCAACACCTTAACTAAAACTAAAAACCAAATGACATAGGGGGCCAGAGGTGGAAGGAGTATTTCCAAAATATATGACAGACAAAGGATATTAAGATCCACAATATATAAAGAATGACCATAGTTGATAAGAAAAAGATTAGTAGCTTAAGATAAAATAGGCAGATACATAAACAAGAAACTCACAAAATAAGAAATCCATGTGTCCAATAAACATATATAAGTAAATGTTATATCACTAGTACCAAAAGAGATACCATCATATAACAAGGAGTGCCTGGGTTGTTGTCTACTATCTAATCTTTCTCTCTCTCTCTCTCTCTCTCTCTCTTTTTTTTTTTTTTTTTTTTGGTGGGTGGCGGAGGGAAGGGCAGGAACAGAGGGGTGTAGAGAGAGAGAATCTGAAGTAAGTGTCACGCCCAGCACAGAGCTGATCATGACTCCAAGATCATGACCCTAGTGGAAATCAAGAGTCAGATGCTTGGATGCTTAACCAGCCGAGCCACACAGGTGCCCCTGTTGCCTACCATCTTAACAAGGTTTTGTATTTTCTTTAAAAGGCCCTACGTTGGTAAGGGACTTAGGAAAATAAATAGCCCTCGCAAACATTGCTGGAGGCAGTATCAATGGGTACAAACTTTCCTGACAGCAATTCCGTAAAGCTTAAAAATGTCAATGGCTTAAAACCTAATAATTCCACTTCTGGAAATTTATCTTAAGTGAACAAGGATGCCACCTATAGTTACATACCAGGACATTCATTTAAGGGTTTTATATAATGAAAATAAAAGTAGAAACTCAGTATGTGTGTGTGTATAGCTGCACGCAGGTTAAGTAAATAATGATATGCCAGATTTTGAAATAATATTCAACCACTAATTAAGGACATGAGGAAGTATTTATGATATACTAAATTTTAAAAGACATTATGAAATTATTTTGTAATATTCCAATTTAATCATGTGCATTGTAAGAAGAAAATCCTAAATAAACTACTTGGCAAGGTAATCTTCAGAGCTAATACACTCTGTTTCATTTAATTATAACAAAATCAGAGAGGTCCAATACATAGGATTAAGTATATTAAAATTGGTGAGAAAATTCTACTTTCTATAGCAAACGTAACTGTGACTTTAGGTCACAGATTACAGTAAAGAAAAGAAGACCGTTAGAATACCTCAGGAAAGCTTTTTACCCTTTCCAGTAGACTAGAAACTCAATTTTCTGATGCCAGGGTAGAGAGTAAGGAGAGTCTAGCTGGCTAATGTTTGTTACCCTCTGACTATCTAAAATCTCAAAAGCTCTTCTGTCAACCACCTTCTTCCCTTTAAGGTCCGCATTAGGTACTGAGAGAATTTACAGCTTATGGTTTTCTGTCTTCAGTTTTAACTGTAGCTGAAACAAAGAATTTAGGGTTTAGAATATTCTGTGTCCACACCTCTGGCGGGCATCCATACAGTAAACCTAAGGATTTAACAAAATTTTCTTGCAAATGAAAAAGCTACAGAAATCAAAAGTGACGTAATTGAAAGCTGTCCAGAATCTTTAAAAAATGACCGAGTTGGGGCGCCTGGGGGGGCTCAGTGGGCTAAAGGCTCTGCCTTCAGCTCAGGTCATGATCCCGGGGTCCTGGGATCAAGCCCTACATCGGGCTCTCTGCTCAGCGGGGAGCCTGCTTCTCTCTTTCTCTCTCTCTCTCTCTCTCTCTGCCTGCCTCTCTGCCTACTTGTGATCTCTGTCTGCCAAATAAATAAATAAAATCTTAAAAAAAAAAAAAAGACCAAGTAAATAAGCTGAAGACTAGCTATCCTGAGTTGGCCTTAAGGTGGGGTCTCAATGGTGTGTCTCTCGATGGGTGGGGACTCCCAAATGTGGGGCAGCAATAGGGTGGAAGCCACTGGTGTGGGAGATGAAAAAAATTCACCTGAGGCAGAACAAAGGAGACAGAAGTTGATTGAATACACCTCAAGAAAGGGAGTGGTGGGCAGAACCGCAGAGGAGAGGCTGTCTGAGACGAGGTAGTGAGTGGGGGCTGTTTTTATAGGGGGAAGATTAGGAGATATGGGAATGTATGGAATTCTCCCTTTTTTGGTTAACTGTGCTTAGTCGTAAGTAGCCCAGTAGTCAGGTAGGGCCCGTGGGTATCTTGAGGTGGGTCTCCCAAGGGGCCTTTTCTGCATTCCATTGCTCAAGGCTGTTTGCCTGGGCTTGACCCTTGAGTCTTGCCTTTTCCAACCATATCCCATTACCTCTCCTCATAGTCAGCTCTTGAAACCTTCTTTCTCCAGTTAAGAACTTAACTTTAATTTTTATTATGCTCCTAGGGCAAGGTGGACATTCTTACCTCAAGGAATGGCTCTGGTGGGCAGGATTACTGTCAAGTAAGTCCTTTACTGCTCAAAAGAGTGTTTGCTTGTAAAATGGTCAATAAATTACACGGAATTGTTCAACATTGATTACTTTATCTTCCTGGTAAGGATGGCATTCAAGTCTAGAAATTTTTGTGTGAGTATCATATATTGTCTTATATATAAAATAAGTCCTATGTTTTTAGAATTAATTATTCCTCTTCTCTCCCTCCACCTCCATGTTCTCAATACTATCCTGGAATGTGAGGGCAGGGAAGTTAACATTTGAAATATTATATTTTAATCACAAACTTCTCCTTAGGTTATATTTTATTCTCTGGATTAACTGAGGAAAATGCCTTCTTCCCATATTTCCCGGCTCCTAATTGGAACCTGTGACTGTCCTAGCTGCATGTTTTCTGAGGAATGGGTTTATTTTACTGGTCAGGACCAAAATGTGGGTAAATTAAGTCCCCTCTGGCTGCTTAGCACTGAACAAGTGGAGAGAAGATGAAGCTTGTGGGCACTGCCCTTCTCCCAGACTTGCCCTGAGGACACCAAGACTGTTGGATGGAAAGCACTTTATAGATGATCATGTGATGTGCAGAGAAGGCAGTATTATCTCTCATGGGCACTTCTACAGATTTCTATCTCCTCCCCTAAATCCTCCAAAGATTCTTAAATCAAATCCCAACCTAAAACTACCAAAGGTGGGACCTCATAAACTGTCATTTCCCACCGCCTGCCAACCACCTCCCTCTGCAGCAAGAAGCCTGCAGACTTCCATTTATTTTCCCATACCACGTGACACATGTCAGACTTGTGTGATCCTCTTCTGCCAAAGAATTGGGAAAGAACTTTCTCTAATATTAGAACTTTCTCTAATATTAGAACTTTCTCTAATATTAGAATCTCCAAAGATGATAAATAAGAATTATTTAAATTTAAACGTGTATAGATAGCTCTTTTTTAGTTGTTAAGGTGTTTTCTGATTCCTTACTTCATTGGAATAAAAATTGACAGGGACTGAACTGAGAAGATTCCAGATAGATATTTTGGATGATTTTTTTCTCCTTTTCTCTCTCTCCTTTTTGTGTCTCCCACCCTCTACCTGCACAATAGGATGAAGATATAAGGAGAAGGTTATGTGGCTACATTTACAGTTTTATTCTCATCAGGTACAAAGTTCATGCTAGTATTGAAGAGAAAAAAGCAGAAGTCTACAACATTAGAGATTTTTATCTAGTGACAAACATACAGCGCTTCAATCATGGAATTAACATTTTCCTGGAAAGCTGTCTATAGAGATTAAAAATATAAATATTATCAAGTATTCAAGAGAGCTTCATATTTGAAGAAAACTGCCATGGCTCTTCTTAGAAGAGCAGTTTCCCAGTTGCTCTATTCTGGAAGTTTCTATCTGTGTTACAATATTTCCCTAAATCTGAGTACTCCTGAAGATTTGGCTGGGGGAGAAGGGAAGTCTGGGAGCATAGCAACCAGAGGGGAAAAGGAAAAGTATTCTGGTGTCTTTTATCTGTTCCAGAAGCTCTCTCTATAACGTAAGTGTTTTCTTGGCATAGTTTGCCCTCATGAAATACTACATTCTGTGGCCAACTGTTCAGTTGTAACCCATAAGAATAATTTGGCCCCCAGACAAGAACCTGTCCTTAGAGGGAGTTTCCCTGACTCAAGAGGTCATCTCACAGAAGTGTAGAGTTCCTCAGATAAGAGAAAGATGGCAGGAGCCCATCCTTGTGATTTTAAAGCCCTTTGGATCTCCTCGAGCTTCTAATATACTGTCAAGGTGATTTTGGGCCATCTACAATTCAGAGATGCCTAGCTCCTTGGGCCTGGGATAGGCATTTCTGGCTATCTCCTGCTAGCTCAGTAGACCTTCACAGAGCATTCTAATTTGCCACAGGGTTTTTTGTTAATGTGCTTAACAGGAAGTATGCTTGAGCACCTAGAATAATTCTTTGCTTAGGCCAAAACTACCTCTAATTAGATTTTATCAAAGTGACCAACTGTGTTTTTGTTAGTGACATAACTAAAATCTCTACTGGAAGTCATTTAAAGTGTGTAATCATCTGACCCCAGTTTTTGCACTGAGTTAATATCCCCAGGTAATTACAGTGTATCTGCATCCCTTAAGACCAATCCTTCCCCACCCTCCATAGGAAAACGTCAAATTGTTCCTTTTAGCTAGATCTGTCAGTATCTCTGGGATGGAAGTCTACCTACCACTTTGCATGCATTATTGCTTTTTCTCTTCTGGTGAGTAAGTCCGTCTCTCACATCACCCCTGTGGCTTGCTTTCCAGTGGGAGCCGGCGAAGCGGCGAATTTTGCAGCCTACGCTTTTGCACCTGCCACCTTGGTCACCCCGCTGGGTGCTCTGAGTGTTCTAATAAGGTATGTGAGAAATGAACTTGGCTTCTTTTTTTTTTTTTTTAAGATTTTATTGATTTATTTGTCAGAGAGAGAGAACACAAGTAGGGGGAGTGGCAGGCAGAGGGAGAAGGAGAAGCAGACTCCCTGCTGAACAGGGAGCCTGATGCAAGACTCGATCCCAGGACCCCAGGATCATGACCTGAGCCAAAGGCAGATACTTAGCCAACTGAGCCACCCAGGTGTCCCTGAGCTTGGCTTCTGTAGAGATGTCAGTACCATGATGAATATAAACCACAAGAATACATCGTTAAACATATCTTAAATATTTAAATATTTAAGATATGTTTAACGATGTATTCTTGTGGTTTAACTCATGTGAGAAGACACAGGAAAGAGCATGGGCATGGGAATAAATTGTGGTGTTATTTAGAAAACCTATGAGGGTGGGCCTGGTTTTCTGCTAACATAAAGTAATCCTGTGTTATATTTGTGTTTATTCGAAGAAGACTTGTAGATTTTTTTTTCTCTCTCTCTCACCTAAACACATTGCCACAGCCCGTTCAGTCCTTTGTGTTGTCATAGTGGTTAATGACCACGGTGGTCATTGGTCATGGTGGAGGACTTTTAAAAGCATAGTGTTTGGGTTAAAGGTCAACTCTCATTTAAAGTCTTCCCTTGTTTGCCAGACAGTTATGTTAGGAGACCTTTTAGTTTCTTTCGGTAATGGAAACGGGAATAATTTTCATGTTCATAGAACGGAGATCTCATTTTTCTGAGCGGTCATTACTATGATCCCAAATGATCGTGTTCAGTGGACGCAGGAAATTTTATAGCTAAGCAACTATATTATTTATTGTATTTTTCTGTTCCTTTTATCTCCATTCAGTATCCACCTCGGGTGGAAAACCTGTGACTAGGCCAACCCACTTCTTTTCACATTCTTTGTAGGACTGTTGTGAGAAGTAAATGAGTCAGGACACATAGAACTCTAGAACACTGTCTACGCATGGGACCGTAACTCTTAGTAGTAGCAGTGTTTAGGCTGAGGCTGCCGTCCTCACCGACTCTAAGAAGGTGCCAGGTGCTGGACCACAGTCTCAGGTACATCTTGGTAGAGTTCATACTGGTACTCCCTTGTGGGAGTGCCAGGGCATCAAGGGAAGGAGACCGGAGTGCAGAAGCTATTTCGTGGAGCAGCAGGATGGCATAGTCTGTTGGCATGGTGGTGCCAACAGAACTTCCTGAGGCCATGGCAACCAAAGTAGTGGGGACTATTGAGTAAGTGAAAGTATCAGGGCGGTAGCGGCTGGTAAGGAAATACTTCAGTATTTTGACAACCCATATGGTTATACTTGTGTGTCCTAGCCACATATCAGCCCTGAGCAGGTGATTCTTTAGACATGGATCTTTCTTGAAGCTTCCACAAGCGCACATAATCTCAATGAATCTTGCCAGTAAGATGTAAAAGATCTTCCATTTTATTTGACTTTGCGGGAGAAGATGGGGAAACAAAATTAATTGGGTGGGACTTACCTCTCTTGGGAAGATGACACAGTTCAGAATGTCTGTTAAAACCCTTTTGATATAAAAGCAAGCAGATTTGATTGACCATTTCTGAGTCTTAAAACTAATCAGGTGTTTCAGCGTCCTGTAGCGTATTCAGCTCAGTTGATTGGCAACTGGGATAGAGGGGCGGGTACCACAGTGGGACTTGTGAGCTGCCCCGGAATCTAATGTTAACCGAATGAGAGTGACTTTTTTTTCTTCTCCCAACAGTGCAATATTGTCTTCCTACTTTTTAAATGAGCACTTGAACATCCATGGGAAAATAGGCTGCATATTAAGTATATTGGGGTCAACCGTGATGGTTATCCATGCCCCACAAGAAGAGGAAGTCACTTCTTTGCATGAAATGGAAATGAAATTGAGAGACCCAGGTCTGTGATTCAACCAAAAGAAACACTCAGATTCTGTTCCACTTTCTCTCCTCATCAAATGAATTTGTAATAATGCTGTAAAAGGCTCCCTTCAAGCTTCCTTGTGGGTTGGGCGATACAGTGAGATTTGACTATACGTATTACAAGTCTTTGGTAAAGGTGACATAATGTAATGGTCCATCCAGGCTTGCTTTCTACAAAGTGAAAGGAGATGGGAATAGGAGGGGCAAAAGGCATATACCCCAACCCCAACTTTGGCCACTTTCTCCCTCTGAAAATAAAAAAGTCTATCAGACGATACCTGCCATACCTCATAGTGTTATCTGTGCAATTCAAATGATATGTTTGTGAAGGTCCATTGTAAAATGTCCAGAGCCATGCAGTAAAATGTTGTTTTGTTTCTGTTATTTTAAGTTAATCTCACTTCTCTTTTGGAAACACCTACCCTCCTAAACTCATGGCTAACATGATTTTGCAAAAGATAGAATCCTACTAGCATTTTCTGAAGTCTAATTCTTTTCTCTTCCAAACAGGATTTATTTCCTTTGCTGTGATCATAACTGTGATCTCATTGGTGCTGATTTTGATCGTGGCTCCCAAGAAGGGACAGACCAATATATTGATCTACATTTCAATATGTTCATTGATTGGAGCGTTTTCAGTGTCTTCTGTCAAGGGTCTGGGAATCGCCATCAAGGAACTGTTGGAATGGAAGCCAGTTTACAAGCATCCTCTGGTCTTCGTTTTGCTGGCTGTACTTGTGCTCTCGGTGATGACACAGATTAACTATCTCAACAAGGCCCTGGACACCTTTAATACATCTCTTGTGACTCCCATCTATTATGTATTCTTCACGTCCATGGTAGTAACTTGCTCCGCCATCTTATTCCAAGAATGGTACGGCATGAAAGCTAGAGATATCATTGGGACGCTGAGTGGGTTCTTTACCATTATCAATGGCATCTTCCTTCTAAACGCTTTTAAGCACACTAACATTACCTGGAGTGACCTGACATCCACTACTCAGAAAGAAGTCCTCTCTCTGAATGGTAGTGAAGACAAGTATGTCCTACTAGAGAACACAGAATGTTCAACCCCAGGATTCAATGATGACATTACCTTGTTTAGCAGGACTGATGATCAAAGTCTCTAGCAACCCTGAACTTTAACCAATATAAGACACCTGAAGGGGATAGGAAATGCCTGATTTTTTTGAAGAACTATTAGGAAAGCTGGCATTTTTAAAGTTCTAACTAATAATCTAGATGTGAGACCAAAAAAAAAAAAAAAAGGAGGCCTTCCTTTTTGGCCACCAAATTTGAAAGTCAAGATTTGGATCCTCCCCCCAGAAGACTTCTACTGTTTTTCATTTCTACAAACTTGAAATATTCTCTAAGCACAAAAGAATTTAGGGTTACATGAGTTTCCAAGTAATCTCTTCTGGTCACAATATATTTGTCTCTGCCAAGTGGCTCTTCATTTCTTTGGCTGCTATTCTTAGTAATTCATAGATAAACTTAACTATGTGCTGATTAGCAAAGTATCAATCATCATTCTCTGATGACTCATAGTTTCAAATTATTAAACCTGAGAAGTGAGATTACTGATGCCACCCCCAACTTCTATAACTTCCTTCTTTCTAAACTAGATGCTAAAGAGTGGAGTGTTAAAGAAAAAATAGGCCTGCTTTGGAAATTTGCTCCCTGGTGGGCTAGAATGCAGAAGACACACAGCCCATGAAGGGCTTATCAATTGTAATTTATTGCCATATTAGAAAAATTTATTACCAATTCAACAGGGGAGAATGGAGAAGGGAGAGAAATACCTAAATGAAACATGGTGCTTTTTCTTTTTCATAAAAACAAGTGCAAATGATTAGAGTCAAGGCTTCTTTTAACTCAAAACTGAACAATATAAGACAAAATTGAATTTCTGGAGAATTCCAAGTGATTTCAGCTTTGGAGTTCCTTATATTCACTTTGTCCCTTTTTCTGTTATCCCAAAGATCATTTTTCTTGTTGACAGAGAGACTTTTATAAAAGTAACTGATATATTACTTTAGGATTATATGGTACACCTCAATTTTTCTCAAATATCTAATCTGCAAAGGGTAAGTTTTCCACAGACTGGAAACAATTAGAAAAATCTTTTCGAAAACTTGAATGAGCTATCATAATTGTTCTCTCAAATTTGACACTTTCACCCTTATTAAGGAAATTATAGTCACTAACCTTTTTAAAAACATACATATCCTACCACTTTAAGTGGTAGATTTTTCTTTTTCTGTTGAATTTCATCCTGACCATATTTTCCGTACATTTTATTGAAAAGTGTTTTGGGAGAATAAGAAGGGGAGTGAAATTCCCAGAAAAAAAAATATTGAGACCTTGGGGACTAGTACAGGAAAATACCTTTTGGATATTAAGACTTCTATGCAATTTTCCTATCTCCAAGTATACAGTAGGAATAACATTTTTGGTGAGCTTTCATGTCTATGGACAAATGCCACTCACTGATTTCAAGAGAAAATTACCTACTTGCAGACTAAACTTATTTCTGTCAAAGCAAAAATCCTAACCAAAAGGTTACATGATTAACACAAAGACAAAAACAAAAACAAAAAACAAAAACCTTCAGGTTGATTCAGTTTTTCTGTTCCAACATTAGAAGTTATTTTATTTGTTTGTTTGTAATCCAGCTCAAGTCCGTCCTGGGCAATAATAGTAAATTCTCTTATTGAGAATTTTATTCCACTGATTTTAGCATTTCCCAGTTCAGTTGAGCTCTCATTGATATTCCCAGGGATGTCCTGAGGTGACATTGAAGTTGGAAAGGACTGTCATTGTCTCTTCAGCGTAGGTCAATGTTGAGTGCACCTCAGTGGGTTCTTATTTTTGAAAATTAATAATCCATGGGAGATACATGGGTTGATACCTCAGGTCAAGTACATGTTTACTCTGTTGGTTGCTGTTTCACTTTCATTGTATATCAGATACATAAGCTATGAGCACAAGTTTGTAGGAGAAGTATTTTCTGAAAAAGTAGCGTTAAAAATGGTAGAAATTCTTTTAAAGTTTTTTTTTCCTATTGAAAAACTCTACTGGTTTCTCCAGGACATGTTCTTAGTGAGGAAATTAAGAGCATCCAGCCTGAGGTTGTGCTGGTTCTCCACTCTAGTGAAAGTCAACATCACCTGTTATAAAGCTTCGCCCTTGGTGTATTGCACCCAGGCTAAAGGCTCATGGAACACAAGTGTTTGTGTATATCCTGGATTGGAGAATGAACTGGTGTTGACATACATGCCCAGGAGAAAGGCTGAGAAAGATTTAACAAGTTGAAACATGTTGGAGAAAAAATGAAATATTTTTAAAACTAAAAATCCCTGGTGGGTATATGCATGGAAAAACCAAAATGTCATTGTAAATCTAAAACCAACAATAATTTTTCCCAAGCAGTAAGATGTTGTCTAAGAAGGAATGAAATGCTGGATCCCTTCAGACTGACTATGTTAGTCTTACCTGGTAGTTTCATGTATGTATATATTATAACATATATTTTTATTTCACTAGGTTTCTTAAGATTTATTAGGTGAATATCATGGGTCATTAGGGATGACAAGGCTGTCTTCACACAGCCAGATTGAAGGTTTTCCCAAATTCTGTGAATATAATAGTTTCATCTTACTTTTGACATAGTTTTATTCTTAGGTCAATGGTTAAGAACTTTGTTTTTAGTTCAGATTGCATACAATGTTCATAAAACTCTTTAGATTCAGCAGATGAAATTAATGCCTTTGTTTGAAGACTACAAAATGAAATACACGGAAAACACCCCACATCGGGCCTGATGTAGGAGGCATTTAACAGAATTTAGTTCTCTTTGAATTGACATTTTCTTACAGTCTTATTACTAGACAATTAAGGACCATTAGTTGCTGGTTTTCATACATTCTTTGTCTTTTCTTGAGTTGTGTCACATTAGCTTGTTTTAAATAATCTAAGTGGAAATGAATTATAATTATCTCAACACCAAAATGAATCCAACAAAAATATTTTTTCTTAAAGCCCATAAATCTGAACTAAGTGCAATATTCACATTCTAACAAAACTTTATGGAAAAGTAATTTGTATGAATATCTATGAAATATTCTAAATATTTTGAATAAACTCTATAGTCATGAAATTTTCTATTTTTCAAATGTTTATATGTACTGTTCATTTTAGAAAGTTTATGAATTTTAATGTTTCTGTATATTTTTCATTTGCAATAAAATGTGGTTTAATCATGTTTGTTGGAGTTCACTTTTTAGTTTATTGAAATTAAGTATATGTAATGGCAAAAATATCCCCATGTAGATTTGAGATTTTTTTTTTTAAGTTTTGAGGTTAAAAAAAGAAACTGCACTTGGGTTAATTTTGCTCTATCATTTTCCTTGAAATTGAAATCTGTTTTTTAGAAGAAGTTTCTCCACAAAACCATTTCCTGTGTAACTGATTTGACACCTGAACCAAAGGTAGGAAAAAAGCGTCTTCTCTTTAAATGATTGTATTGAACAAAACAGGTGTTTAAAGCAGTCAGTGTAATGAAATCTCTCAGTTCAGGAATTTAAAATGAGAAGACATTATAAAAGTACCTGGTAGCATTGCATTATATTAAATTCACATTTACAGACTCAGCAAATTGAAGAAGCAAAGGAAGAGGGAGAAAACATAAAAATATTTGGTAGCATTGTATGACATTAAACTTTACATTTACAAACCCTCAGCGAAGTTCCTTCTAGCCCCTCTGGAACCACATTGTCATTTCATGGGGTGCCTGGCTGGCTCAGTCCATACAGCCCATGATCTTTGAGTCGTGAGTTTGAGCCCCAGCTTGGGGGTAATGTTCATTTAAAAAAACAAAAACAAAAACAAAAAACATTTTGCTTCATGTATTGACCACATCACTATGACCTTATCAATTTTCCCTATTTTGATTTGAGCTCATGTTTGCGTACAACCCCCTCAGTTGTTTCTATGGAAATGAATTGTCTAGGGGTCTAAAAGTCCTCTTTTAGGCCTCTCTTTCCCACCATTGTATAGATAAAGAAATAATACATAATTCCTTAAATCAGGTAGTTACTTAGGGCTAGAGTGAGGACCAAGACACAAGTCTGCCAACACCCGGAACCACTCAGTCCACTTAGAGATGTCAGCATCTCTAAGGAGGGCTTGGTGGAGTTGGCGGTGTGCAGAAATAGTGTATCTCAGTGGAGCGTTCATTAAATGTTCATCAAACATTACAGCACCCTGGCTTCTTAGAGGTATAGGAAACCTCTAAGAGGTAAGCATAAGTTACCAAGAGTCTTAAATTTTATTTCTAACACCGAGTGACATAGTCTTCCCAACGGAAAGCTTTGATTGGTTGCAAAAAGCCACAAAAAGCCTTTTGAGAAAGATGGCAGCCTGAACCATCCTTTACCTCTTCAGTCACAAATCATGAAAAACCTTTCTTCTGGAGGGAAAAATGAATCTCTATAAATGCCATTAGTAGAGGAGAAAACCTTTGTGTTAGAAGACATTTTAGTTTTTTTATGTAGAGTTGTCCCCATGAGTGAGGGGAGATTAGAACTTCTGGAGGCCAAGCTCTACCAGCCTTCAGAAGACAAGTGCTTGCACCGGTTTTCTGTCCTGGGGCAGTCATAAGACCATGTGGACCTCCCTCCCACCCAGCCATGTGTAGGCCCCTGCAACTACTTGGCTGGGGGGAAGCAGATGGACAGGATTGGTGGTAAACATAAAGAAGCCATGCTCTGAGTGCATGTCCCCAGGATTTCCTCCTATTTTCTGCCTCTGTGACCCAGCCAGTAACTCCTGACTGCCAGTAAACAAAGTCCAGTCGCTCTGGCTGAAAGGGTGATGGACTGCTTTGCGAATGCCTTCTCCAGGGACTCATAGTCCATAGAAAGCCAACCCAGGGCCCTAGGCTCCATGGAGAAAGCCTCTGGATCTCCCCTAGAATGGATCCTGGGTAATGATATGGAGCGACACCGTGAGATCATTCTACCTAACAAATGTCCAGACAGTACACTCAAGGACATCCATAGTCCAAGGCCAATAAAACAGGTTGCTTCATAGACTAGGAAGGTGCAAAATCACCCTCTGACTCAGGAGGTCTCCCTCTCTCAGTTAGCTTTGGTCTTTGTTTTCTTCATCAACGTCTCACCATATTGCTAGAAGAGTTCGAAATAAAATATATTTATGTAAAAGAGATCTGTCTTCTCCTTAACTCATGGAACTATAACGCTGGGTTATAATGGGCAAGCCTTAGGAAACAGAAGAATGCCTATCCAGAGAATTAGGTTTTATTTACCCATTACCTTACTTGAACTTAATTCCTTCTGAGTAGTCTTGCATGCACAGAAAAAGAGGACCAGGCTTTCTACCAGTTTGGAGCCTGATTTCAGCATCACCGGGTATGGATTTTGTAATGCAGTGATTCAATCTTTTCAGCAAGCATTGAGATAGACACGCAGCTGCCGGATCAAGTTTACACGGGCAGAAACGAGAACCACCGTCCACAGTGCCATGAAGTCGTCTTACTGTGGGAACCCAACTGGTTTAGAATCAGAC